ATAACTACATATTTTAGAAATCGTAAGTTCGCACTGATACCTCCCATTCCAACCCATCCCCCCAGAGTTCGTTCTTGCCTCTCCCCTTTCCATATTTGTAGGTCCCCTCTCCCACAGTGAGAATCCTGGCTTCCGAGTATCGACGCATTTACCCTTTTGTTTGATCCTATTATACATCTAAAAATTGTTTCAGAATTGCTTGGTCCATTGACTACACAAATCCACTAAAAAGAGCTCAGCCTATTTGTAGTTCTCCCTCCCTGCCAAGCTAACACATGTCCTTGAGTGGTCATTTCCTTAAATGTTTTGTTATAACACTGATGAGATGCTGTAGGAACTTAACTCTTTGTATCAATTATGGTAAAATTGGTTTTGTTATACATTGTTTCGCTTAAAGATCCAGAACCTATAGACGACATTGTCTCACTGTGCTGTATTTACCTTTTCTAGATTAGTTTTTTCTCCGGTGTAGTGACGGTATTCATTGGATATACTGTTGAGTTCATTTTCTTTTCAGTTTGCTTTCAGTTTCATATATTTTTTCCATCTTTTATTTGTTAATTTTATAGCATGAATACACAGAACATTAACCTGTTTCAAATAGAACTATATAAAAAGATGTACTCAGAGTAATGTCCCTTTATTTTATATCCCTCCAACCCCTCACCTCCCTTACTTCCTGTAGGCAGGAAGCTTCATTATTTACTGGTTGATTCCCCCACGTTTTGTTTTTTTGGTTTTTTGTTTTTCTGTGTGTTTTTTAAGATAAGCAGATACATGTATATTTTGTTAATTTCCTCATACAAAATGTAGCTTACCGCATGTGCTCTTTGGCGCTTTGCTTTATTGTCTCCCAGAAATCACTCCATATTAGTGCATAGATATCTTCCATGTTTTTTATAACTTCTCCATTTCATGTGTATACGTACATTTAACCAATCTCCTGTGCTTACGTGTGTTTTCATATTGTTGGAGAGAGATCTTCAGAGAATGTACATGCTAAGAGATGAGATTTTCATACTTATTGCCAAGTTGCCCTCCAGAAAGCTGTATTAATAATTCCACCTTTAGTGCTTTAGACCATATCATCTTTTTAAAAAATAAAAATAGACTTACTGACTTTAATGGAATATTTAGTAATGTAGGATTTCAGTTTCTTCCTTTCTTTCTAAGGCAAGAGCACCTGTCAGCTGCTTCTCTGTCTAGGTGAGGCCAAAATTCTACTTGGAGCAAAGTCTTTTTAAAAATTATTTTTTATTTTTTTGTCCTGGGAATAGTCATTTGGTAGTGGTAGACCTCTCTTAGTTACAGTGAGGGGAAAAATATAAGTGACTAAAATACTGTGTCCATCTCCTAGTGTATCTGTTTGAATGAGCAGCAAAGCTGTCTTTAATACAGTATCTCAAGTGAGATAAATTGAGATTATACTTTATAAATGGTAAAATTCTAAACAAATAATCATCGTCCTTAACTGCCTAGAGCCCATTAAAGGTACATCAAAAGAAGGCAGGCTGTCAGACAGGGATCAATAAGAGCCTGGTCATGGGGGGCGGGAGGGGGTAGTTGGGAGGAGTCTAAAAAAAAATTACATCGTAAGTGTAAAACCCACTGTATAAGGATGTTCTGTGTTTTTAAAGCCTCCAGGCTTAGTGCAGCACAATAGGTTGCTGTTGCCTTCCTTTTTCCCTTTCTGCCTTTGACCCGTGTGTATTTCAAATGCTTTAATTAGTGTCACCAAAAGGTCTGGTTTATTATCACCCCATGCCTCCGGTGACGATAAATAATTCCCTTCCTTAAGATCACAACATCTAATCTCTAATTTCAGACATGACGATAATTAGAGCATTTGTTTTGTTTTTGGACCTGGTAAGAGACCCCAGCAGTTGCTTTTTAATTGGGGAAATTGCCATTTCCCTCTTAAACATCATTTCTTAATAGGAAGCCACACAAATTCAAAACTAGTATGTTTCTTACCATCATCCGATTGTATCACTCAAGCATTAATTTTCCCCATGGTGATTTTGCAGGTTACATTCTGATTATCTCATAATCCTAATTATGTTACATACTCTAATGAAACTCCATGTGTATCTGCAGCCCCCAATCTTATTTTTTAAAAATATGATTTAGGTTAATTTTATTACCATTCTGGAAACAGATACAAATTAGAGGAAAATTAGATGCAAAATTGGCACAACAGATTCTCAGTTTCATGATGCATTAAATTTGGAGGCAATTTATCGTAAGTGGGAAAAGGTAAAGTGCTGGCAATGACCAAGAACCCTTGAAGAGAGAGAATCTTACCCAAGGTCTAGAACAAAGAAAACTCATCTGTTACGACCCTGAATAGAATTGAGTTCACGGGTCCGACTTTCAATAGTGAAGCACTTTGATTATTCAGGGATTGATTTTAAAATTTTTACTTTCCAAAATAATTCAACACATGAGCCATTGTATCTGCCATGATGAGGTTAGCAGCCACAATTGGAACTCTCCGGGGGCACTTCAATAGCTGCAGAAATTTAATCTCCTCTGGCAAATTTCTGGGAAAATGACTGTGAAGAGAGAAAATGTGTTGTGTAGTGAAGAGAAAAGGTATGATTCCATAGAGATGCTCTCATTAGTTCAATAAATATCTAGGATTATTTTATTCATTCATTTATTCATTCCACAAACAATCATTGAGTATTCATTAGGCCAAGAAGTGTTTTGCAACATAAACAAAATAGAAACAGACTCATAGACACAGAGTGGACTGGTGGTTGCCAGAGGGAAGGGGGTTTGGAGGATTCCGTGTTAAAGGTAAAGAGATTAACAAGTACTAATTGGTAGTTACAAAATAGTCATGAGATATAAAGTACAGCACAGGGAATATAATCAATAATATTGCGATAACTGTGTAGTGCCAGGTAGGTACCGAAAATATCGAGGGGAACACTTCGTAAAGTATATGATTGTCTAACCATTATGCAGTACACCTGAAACCAATACAAAATAATATTAAAAGCCAACTGTAGCCCAGCTGGCATGGCTCAGTGGTTGAGCGTCGACCTAGGAACTGGGGGGTCTGGGTTTGACTTCCTGTCAGGGCACGTACCAGGGTTTTGGGCTCGATCCCCAGTAGGAGGCAGCCAATCAATGCCTCTCTCATCATTGATGTTTCTGTCTCTCTCTCCCTCTTCCTTCTTCTCTCTGGAAAAAGAAAAAGTTCAAATTGGGCGGCGAGTATTCACCCTGGGACTTAGGAGTAGACAATTATGTCTTCTGGATGAATAAAACTTTTATGATTAATAAGTAATCCTCTCTCTAATGGTGCATCTTTTCTTAAAGTTGGCTTTGTCTGATAGTAGTATAACTATACCAACTTTCTTTTAGTTAATGTTTAGAGGATACGTCTTTTTCCATCTTTGCCCCGTCAACCTTTTCGCATTACTATACTAAGCTCATGTCTCTTATAAGCAGCATATCATTGACATTTTTTTATACAGATTGACAATCTTTGGCTTTTAATGGAAGTAAAAGACAGAATGCAGTTTTTTTGTAACTTAATCTTGAAGTAACAGCCTATCACCGCTGCTGCATTCTTTTCATGAAAGTAAGTCATAAGTCCAGCTAGACTCAGGGGAGGGGATTACACAAGGGTGTATCTACCAGGAGGTAGGGATCACTAGGAGCCTCAAAGAGAGTGCCTACCATTTTCATCTATGGATGGAAACCATTAGATGAAAGGTTGGTGGGGAACTTTATAAAAGGCACCCGGCTGTCATCATCTGAATCCAGTACTCAGTCTTATAATCACTAAAACAGGGTCAACGAGATTAGCCAAAGAACATATATGCAGAGCCCATGGACACAGACAACAGTGTGGTGATGGCCAGAGGGAGGGGGCGGGGGGCAGGGACTGGATTGAGGGGAAAAAAATAAAGAAAAAAATGCATTTATTTTACCTTACTCTTTAAAGAGGGTTTGGCTAGTGTATTCCAGATTGACAGCTGTTTCCCTCAGCGTTTTGAGTATATGACACCATCACCTTCTGACATATATTGTTAGGGAGAGTTCCACCACTGTTTGGTCATGTTCCTATGTCATCCATCTTCTCTCGTTTGTAGATTATATTTTTGCTTTTTGTTTAAGGATCTGCAGTTCTGCTGCTGCATTTCTAGGTATAGATTTATTTTCTTGCTAATCATTCAGTGAGATTTTTCAATTTAAGTTCCCATGTGGTTCTTCATTTCTGGAAAATTATCAGTCATTGCATTTTCAAGCATCATCTTTCCTCTATTCTCATTTCCTTCTGCAGCTTCCATTGGCTCTATTTCTGAACTTATTCTACCCTACTTTACTTTTTGTGTGTAAATTCAGTAATCTTAAAAGCAAAATCTACATCCAAAATATTTTCATACATTACATATTCCATTGAAGAAGAAAAAGTTACACTTTGTGGATGAACAATTTGAGGCTACATGACCCTTACCTTCTTTCATAATTTCCTCCTTTATCTCACTGTGTTGTGATCTGGAAACTTCTTTCTCAGTGCCATCTTCCAACTCATTAATCCTTTCTCTCTTCAGATAGACCCAGTATAACACTGAGATAATTTATTGAAGTAACTTATTATTAATATTTTATTTTCAATGTACACTTTTCACTTTCAAGGTTTCCAATTTGTTCTTTTTCAAATATTCCCATTCTTGTTTCAGGTGCTGCTTCCTTCCTTGTGTCTTTGAGCTGTTAACATGTTATCTTTAAGTTCTCAGATTGATCTCTATATCCTCAGGTGTCAATTCTTCCATTTGTTGAATTTACCAACTATTTCTATGACAGTGGACTTTTTCATGTGCTTAAAGTTTTTAAAGAGCTATTCTTGCTTGTGTGCCCTCCTTCACACACACCCTAGAAAGTTAACTTGGATCTTTTACTCCATATTAGTGGTTTAATTTTAGGCCTTAAGTGCGTATCATATAGTCTCAGTTCCCATGTTCCATGGTGCCTCTGCTTCTTTACTTTTTGTTTGTAATTTCAGTATTCTCAGAACCAAAATCTACATGCAAAATATTTTCATAAACTACATATTCCACTTCAGAAGTAGATGGCACATTTTGTGGATAATCAATTAGAGGATAAATGACCAAAGACCTACGAACTAGAGAGGGGGAAATAGAACCAGGCATCTCCTTGCTCTCTACAAACCTCTTCTCACTGTTGTACTTTATTTTTGCATATGAATCTGAAGTTTTGCGTGCCCACTTCGTGATCCCCTTATAATATTTCCATTCTAGATCCCTTAGATCCATAAATTGTTTTTCTGAAAAGAATCAGATGTTCAAAGAATCACATGGTGGTGTCATTTAACCTTCAGTGATTCAGAGGTGTTTCATGATAGAATAAACCCTTAATTTGAGTCTCCTCTTTCTGGTAGAAAGCCTTTTCTGAATCTTTATAAACTAAGGGGGAACCTCTGGTGTCCGTCTCATTTAAAGTCCTCCTCCAAATAGAATATTGGGTGGGTCTGGCTAACTGGACTGGAGAGCACCCTGCAGGGCCATTGCAGGTAGAGAAAGTGTCTCATGTGGTGCTTGGAAACTAAGCATCTGCAAATGGAGAGAGCACTGAGGTCAATGGGGGAGGCGGAGAGGG